ATTTTTAATATAATATAATAAAAATATTCATTATTTTAATTAATATTAATGTAATTTCAAATTGTTTTCAAATACTATATTTAATATTTATAATACAATTTTTAAAAACAAATTTTATAAAAAAGATATTTTTATCCAATACATACATAATCTTCAACTTTTTGAAAAAATTTAATATAAATTCAATTTTTTTTTTCCAATTTAAATATTAAATATATATTAAACTACAAATAGAATATCAATTTATTTTAAATAATAAAAATTAATTGTTTTTAATTTATTAATATCAAAATTTTATTATACATAAGATTTATTTGATATAAATTAAAGAAAATAAAAAATTTATTTAAATAAAACTCGATTTTAATAATTTATTTAATCTAAAATACCGTAACAAAAAATCTAAAAAAGAACTTTAATATAATTTTATAATTTTAAATATATCTAATTCAAAGCTTTTTTCACTTCATTTAATTCAACTAATTCAATTCAACCTATTCTCAACTCAATTATTTATAATAATGATAATGATAATGATAATGATAATGATAATGATAATGATAAAAATAAAAATAAAAATAAAAATAAAAATAAAAATAAAAATAAAAATAAAAATAAAAATAAAAATAAAAATAAAAATAAAAATAAAAATAAAAATAAAAATAAAAATAATAATAATAATAATGTAATTCAATTAATCATTATTTTTTGAATTATAAATTTTATAATATATATTTATTTCATACTTTGTTTAATAACTTAATCAAATTTATATATTTTATTACCAGGGACCTACACCCCCAAACCCCTAGCTTTTCAAGGAAATTTAATATAAATTCAAATTCTTTTTTTAAATTTAAATGTTAAATATATATCAGAATGCAAATAGAATATCGACTTATTTTAAATATTAAAAATTAATTATAATAAAATATATAAAATAATTAAGTTATTAAATAAATCATTTAATAAATATATTATTAATTGAATTTTACTACTACTATTATTATTATTATTATTATTATTATTATGTAACGATACTGTACTGGAGGCAGCGGCTGCCTAAGGTTCGTCGGTTGGTAGTTATGGGTTAAGGCTTTTATCAGTGGTACTCACTTGGAAGTGAATTCGTTACTAGATCAAGTAGAATGTAGGTAGATTAATTGATAACTAAGTTGAGCACGAAGCTCTTATACTATGAAAATAATGAATGTTTATATACTTGTCCTTTCCAGGAGCCTATGCTCCAAGAGGCTCCATCACGTGATCCCTACTTGTCCCACGTGATGGTGAATCGTGACATATTATTACTACTACTATTACTATTATTATTATTATTATTATTATTATTATTATTATTATTATTATTATTATTATTATTATTATTATTATTTTACTTTTATTTTTGAATAAAAATTAATAAATCTATTTTTAATTTATATTTGAAAATAAAAATATTATTTTAACAATAAATAACAATAAGTAATAAATTTTATAAATCTAGATTGATGTCACACTCAAGAATACTGGGTAAAGTATCTTGTATTAGAAAATACTAAGCTAAGGAGAAAAGAAGAAGGAAAACAAGAGTAGAGATTGATTGATTGATTGTGTTTATCGTTATAGGCCGTAGGCCGCGCGTGCCTTGGCATATGACAACCTTAACCATCTATTCCAGTTTTGGACAAATGACGCTCAGAGGAGAAGCCTTTGAGTGGTTTACTAGCTAGCTAGGGGGAGTATTTATATACAATTTAAAGGGGCTAGGGCAGGGTTTACATGATTGCCTTCGCAGGGGGGGTTTGGGCCGGTAGGCCTTTTGGGGTTGTAATTATGGTCATCCTTGTCCACTAGATCACTAGCTCTTGATCTCTCTCCCTTCCCCTTATATTATTAAAACATTGTATTCGAAAACCCTTTATCCCTGATCCCCTTCCTAATATCATCAATCTAATTGCTCCTTATATACCAGAATGTATTGTAATCGCTTATCATCAGGATTGCCTCATCCTCATTCTGATCATCCTGCTAATAGAAAGTTTATAAAGAAATATTAATCCTCATATAGCGTAATTATAGCATATATAGATAGTAGCTTATACAAATGTCCCAATTCTGTAAGTAGCATACCTTCACTGAATAAGAATAGAGTAAGTTTCATCATCAGCTTAGATCCTTCAATAATACTCCTTCAATGTTCCTGTATGAAAAGTATATAAATTGTTATTGTTTCGATTATATCGATTATAGGAGGTAACGTGGTTTATCAGCGAGTCGCCACTTTTTCAATATCTTTTATTATTTAATTTCAAGACGCGATATTTCAATGAATTATTATGGAAATATAATCAAAAGAGGCCAGAATAATCTTAGCTATTGAAGCTATTTGTTACGAGGTTTGCCGTCTAGATCACGTGGAAGTGCTCTAGGCTCTCGAAGTGGTTTATAACTAGGCGTCAAGCAGGGACTTAAAGTAATGACAATAATGCAATTCGTAACTAATAGTAGAGTATACTAAATGATTGATCTTGAGCACGAAGCTCTATACAAAGGAAATCCATCTTGATTATATAGACCATCGTGGCATGCGTCCCAGTGCTCCCAGTTGTCCCAGTTGTACTGGGACAGCTGAGCCTACTGGGATCCTCATATCACATGATGCTAATCACGTGATGTTAGGTATGTGAGATCCGTCGTAACAGGTTCCTGCGTAGCACGTGCACAGGGCACTAGTCCTGTTAGGACTAGATTGAGAAGCTCTCTTACAGAGAGCTTCGCACTTCCGTAGAACTTAGAAGAGAGATTAACCTACTAGACCAATATTACCTTAGTTCTGCCCTATCAGCTTCCCACTATTCCCTGTGTGAGGTCATTCCTTTTAACATAAGTTATTATAAGTTATTATTATTATTATTATTATTATTATTATTATTATTATTATTATTATTATTATTATTATTATTATTATTGTTAAAAGGAATAGAAGTTACCGGTACTAATCACGTGTCGTGATTAGTAATACGGTTACCTAAACAGGAGATTAAGACGCCTACACGCGTAGTAATATAGTTAATATAGAGGCCTCTTCCACCCAATCTTTTCATAATTATTATTATTAAAACATATGTATAAAATTAAAAATAAAAATTTAAAATCAAAATAAAATAATTTCTTCTTGAAAAAAGAATTTAAAGTTTTAAAAATTATGAAATTTAAACATATAGTTCATTTTTTAAAATATACTCAAATAATAATCTTATAATTTTATATCAGAATCATTAAATATTATTCAATATAATTTAAATGTCCGAATTCCGGTAAAACGGAGTTTTTACTGGACTTTAATTCCCCTATGTCCGAAGTCACAACATAGTCAAACTTGGGTTTTAATCCACATTACAATGACCCAACGAGATGCGGGGTTGTCGCACTTGGCTTGTAGTGCTTTGCCCTTTTTTAACGAATTTTGTGCTGGCTTTGCTCATGATCTTCCTTGAAGTATGATGTAAGGGGCCACCTGCTGCCTACTTTGGCGTGTCTAGATTGTTTGTGTAATTGATGACTACCCTGTGAATGAAAAATCCGAACACGCTAAGCGGGGATTCTTTATTTGAGGTACATGTCGATTCGGATTCGGGGCAACTTTAGAAGTATTTTTGTTAGAAAAATAAGACCCAGACGCATAGACATCTAAGTGGGAAAGAGCCGCGGAATTTTCCCAGCTATAGAGGTTGATGATAAGTACACCAGTTGGTGCACGGACTGACGGACCGACCCGCAAATGAACTACACATCACACCAAGAATCAATCTCAAAATTGAATTAAAATTCAAACTTATAAGATTTTTAACGAGATTTTTCAAAACAAGAATAATCAAAAATCAAAATATAATACACTCTAGAGTTAATTTAAAAATAATAATTTTGAAAATAATATATATATTTTTTTTATATTAAAAACTTTAATAAGAAAAAATAACAATCTTTTATATAATTTATTATTATATACTAAATAACTCTATTTAATACTTATTATTTAATCAAATTAAAATATTGAAATGATTTAAAAATAATATAAAAACATAATTATGATTATTTAATCAAAAGAAGTTAAAATTTATTATTATATTTAATTTTATTATTATATTAATTATTAATAAACAATAAGATTAAATAATTATTTAATTATAAATATATTAAATATAATTTAAAAGATTTAAAATTTGGTTAATAATAATATATTATCTTTTTAATTATATATTATAAATAAGATTTATTGTTTTATAAATTTTAACGATTTTATTTAATTATATCTCGATTATATATTATTGAATAAAAAGAATTTACTTATAATATGATTCAAGATTTGAAGATTATATAAAATTTGAAGAAAAAAGTTATTGATCCTCGATTGTCATTAGTTGTTAAACGGGGTATTCACTGTGGAGTATTTATTCTTTCAATATCTATAAAAGCGATCTCATCGGCGCTACACTTGAGCATCCCTGCTTATGGTGCTCGATTTTTCTAACTCAACAACGGTCCTCGTGCTCTTGAAAGTATGAGGCCATCCACTTAATAATGGGCCAAGATGTGGCATGCCTAGAGTGGAGAGCTTCCACTCCCTAACCGCTCAGGTATTATCAAGTTCAATGTCCGTTGCAGCAACTTGACCACCTTGAGGATTTGGAGTTGGAATCTCGAACGAACCACTTTGCTTTCATACATGAATCTTGCTCGTTCATTTTTCTCCAAATGAAGGGCTTTGACAATCATTTTCGGAAATACGGACTTTTACACTCTTGCCGAAAGTGAAACTTACAACTTGCTAACCTAGGAAATAATGACCAGACGACCAGGCGCCACAATGCTGCCTCTAACATATGTTTATATAAGACTCACTTACATCCCATCCGTTATATAAATCACACAAGCAAAATCTTGACGAACAAATCAATTTAGACCATCTGCTCTTCTTTTGTGTCAAATCTGCCGCAGTCATGACCACTATGAAAGTTGCCCAATTGGTGGAGGCAGGAAAGCCTCTAACAACAACTACAATCGAAAAGCCGATTCCAGGACCAAAAGATGTTCTTGTCAAAGTCGAGGCTGCCTGTCTTGTTCCAAATAGCGCCAACATCATTAAAAATGCACCGAGTCTACACCACACTTTGCCCGAGATGCCGTGCGTTTTCGGCCTCGATGCTGCCGGTGTCATTGAGGCTGTAGGAAAAAATGTTGTCGGATTGAAGGTCGGGGATCGAGTTTACGTTGATCCACACATATCTTGTGGCAACTGTAAACAATGTCGTAAGGGTGAGTGAAACCTGTTTCTCGTGAATACCCTTCTCATTTGCTAAACAGAAAAACAGGAAGGAGGGACCTATGCAACTGGGGATGCTTGCGTGCCTACTTCGGTAGAGCATCACCAGAAGGGCGGGAAATTCTTAAGCAATATCCTATTGGTTCGCTTTCACAATACTTGCTCTCGCCTGATGCGAACATCGCTGTGATTCCTCCGTCAATCAATATCAATACTGCAGCGAGATTTGGGTACATTGGTACCTCCTATGCAGGTCTCAAGAAATGTGGAATGGGTCCAGGAAAAACTCTCCTCATCAATGGTGTAACAGGTACCCTAGGATATGCGGCAGTAGCCATAGCTCTAGGTCTTGGTTGCACAAAAATTCTGGGAATTGGAAGGAACAAAGAACGTCTCGCTGAGGTTGAGGGAATGGCCACGAAGGGTCGAATTGTTGTTCGTTCCAGTGAAGATGATGGAGACATTCTTGAATGGATTAAAGAACAAACAAATGGATTTGGTACCGATGGTCTTTACGATTGTCTTGGTAATGGGGGTGATGCAAATGGTACCAGCAAATTTATCAGCTCGGTGAAACGTGGCGGAAGAGTGGCATTGGCTGCTGGTGGTGTTGGAGGCAATATAACTCACTCTTATATTGAAGCTATGCTACACGATGTTAGTGTCAATGGCACATTGTGGTTCACTAGTGAGGAGATAGATGAGGCTATTGAGTTGATTGGTGCCGGCGTCATTGACTTCTCATTCCTCCAACACAAATTTTTCTCCTTGGACGAGGTTAATGCGGCTTTCAAAACTGTAGGGGATCGTCCTGGTGGAGCTATCAACGTCATTGTACAACCACATGCATAGAGCATATGAGGATCTCATAGGAATGACTTGGATTACTATCACGGAGCTAAGCTATTTATGCACAATTAGTAAGAATAACAGCTGAAACCCCACCACAAGATTCATTCATTTTCATTTATCTCCCACTTGTGCAACTAAACATAGCATTTGCACAAGACTATCACGCGATTTTTGAGATGTAAAATTAAAATTAAAATACAATAATGTTAAAGTGAATGGTTCCTGCGTAGCACGTGCACAGGGCACTAGTCCTATTAGGACTAGATTGAGAAGCTCTCTGTAGGAGAGCTTCGCATTTCCGTAGAACTAAGAAAATGGGTGATTCATGTAAAAGGCCAATATAGCCTCAGTTCTGCCCTATCAGCTTCCCACTATTCCCTGTGTAAGGTCATTCCTTTTAACAAATAACAATATTTGGTATATTGCAAAACTCCGATGAACTGGGAGGTATTCTGTTATTAGTTACAAACTTATCGTGCAAAGCAAAATATCTGATTGAAAGAAGAATTTTTTGATTATTTCACTTTGAATTTTGCTTCTATTCAGGGAGCGGAGCGTCTGAGATGGCTGCGGAACGCCAAGCCCTCCATTATGTAAGCCTAGTATTCTACTTTTGGGCCATCCCCTGATATAGGCTATCTTTTTATATCAAAAATAACGATATTTACTTATTAATAATTTAATAATTAATAAATAAAATCAATTGAAATTTTGATTACAAAATTATTATATATTTATAAGTAGTTCTTGAAAATTTCAAATTTTTTATAATTTTATTGATCGAAATCTTAATAATTGGAATATTAATTTTTAATTTATATAAAATTTATATACAAATTTAAAAATCTTAGATAAGTTTTTAATAAAAATTATTAAAAATAAAATATAAATCTTTTTAAAAATATTAAATTATACATTATTCGGAAATTTATTATTACAATAAATAATTTAATAATAAAATATTTATATAAAAGATTATTCAACTTAAAGAAATTATTGATTATAAATCATTTTTTGTTATTAAAGATTTACTTTTTTTTAAAATTCTGATTAACGTGGTTTATCAGCAGTCCGCCTATATCACTAGTCCGTCTACTTTTTAATTATTTAACCACTTCAAATTCTAATTAGTTAATTATAACTTATTCAATTGATTCAAACTATTAAGAATCTAATAATCTAAGATCTATTATATCATTTTGACAAGTTCTTGAATTATGATCAGTCTTTCCGCATTTACTACAACATCGACTAGTAGATGATTTCCTATTAGAATTTCCCTCATTTTGACGCTCATCATATTGAATCTGATTATCAATCTCTTGTTATGATAATATATCTTCAATTTCTTGTTCAGTAAATACTCCTTTGTGACGGAAATCCCTGCTTTCCTCCCACCTTTATTATATAAGAAACCTCAGGTACATTAACCATGTCCACACATGATACGATTACTCGAGATTAGTATGCGATTTAGGTGACCTGAGGATCAGATCCGGACAAGTACTAGGTATCAATGGTTATCGGTAAAGTAAGATCATTGGAGGAATAAATATGACTTCTTTTTGCCTAGCCATTGCGGCTAGGCCATTCATTTGTGTATATATAGAGTAGCTATCCCCATCTACAGGTGCTCTTCACCTGTAGATTCTAAGTTAAATACAATTGCTGGTCTATAAACACCCTTTTGGTCACATCCTTTATTATATAATTGAATTTTTTTAATATATCAACGTTTACTTAATGCTTTATTTGCTTTTCGAAATATACGATTCTCAATATTCAAAAATATAATTTCATATATCAATCTCTTTATATCTTTAACTAAAGCTTATATAGTCTCAAATATAAATGTAGAAGAGCTTGATTGATGACAAGCCATTCGAGCTTTTATTAGAGTTGATTATAAGAGAGTTTCAATTGGATTGTGAGGGATTTGAGAGATTCTGTTAAAAGGAATGACCTCACACAGGGAATAGTGGGAAGCTGATAGGGCAGAACTGAGGTAATATTGGTCTAGTAGGTTAATCTCTCTTCTAAGTTCTACGGAAGTGCGAAGCTCTCTGTAAGAGAGCTTCTCAATCTAGTCCTAACAAGACTAGTGCCCTGTGCACGTGCTACGCAGGAACCATTCACTTTAACAACTTATAATTTATAATTTATATATATTATTATTATAATCTTTTAAAATTCTTTTTAAATGTGACGGAAAAGTCGTAAACGGAGTCAATTCAATTATTTAGAATCTAAAACTAAAGAACTAAGAAGATTCTAAGTAAGAAGGTCTTTATATACAGGGCTAGTGCTGTCACACTCAAGAATACTGGGTAAAGTATCTTGTATTAGAAAATACTAAGCTAAGGAGAAAAGAAGAAGGAAAACAAGAGTAGAGAGTTTTCCTATGATTAAATACAAACGGGGCATGCCACGTGACCCGGAGGTGTGAGGCGTCACAAGTGCACGTGAGCCACTAGTGGGTAACAACCGTCACGTAACATAAAGTATAAAAAATATAATTTAATATTTTTTAAATAGTTTTTAAAATTTAAAATAAATAGAATTTATAATAAAAATACACTTTAAATGATTTTTAATTAAATTAAAAATCAGAATATTGTTACGAGGTTTGCCGTCTAGATCACGTGGAAGTGCTCTAGGCTCTCGAGGTGGTTTATAACTAGGCGTCAAGCTGTTACGACGGGCTACACAGCTACCAAGACACGTGATCACAAATGATCAGTAGTGATCATTAAGGATCACTAAGGATCACGATATAGGTGATCACTAATGATCATGAAAGATCACCAGTAATCATAGAAGCATGAAGGACTATATAATCAAGATGGATTCCTTTGTATAGAGCT